CATTTATTATTTTTTTTTTTTTTAATTTTATTTGGTTCAAGTAGACCAAGTAGACCTTCGACCTTACGGCGAATTTTGACCAATTTGAAGCATAGATATAGCGTTGCCAGATAAGTCGGTAGATCGCCCTGTAGTCGGTTACTCCCAAGCTTCGGAACAGAGTATAGCATAGGCAGATATACATTCAGTAACATTACTATGCCATTTGCTTACAGTGTCTTGCCCAAGCCTTGGCGCATTGTCGTGCCCTCCATATTGATCTTCTCGCTGATGAGCCTGGGCAGCGCAGCATATACGATACTGACCAATGGCTATCTGCGCCGGCTGTGCGGGCAATTGCGGCAGAGTCTCACTAATCCACTGGCCATTAGGTGAGTTGTAACTGTTTGTGGAACTGCAACTAATTACCTAAACTCCTTCTTTAGTTGTGGAGATGCCATTGCTCTGCTGCGTCCGCGCATTCACGAACACAGCATCTCGCATGATGCATATCTGGATCTGTTTCGCTGCAGCTACATCATCAGCATGATCCTGTGGTTCCTGGCCCTGCTGATCATGGTGCTGCGCTATGTGCTCGCCATTGATTTCCAGCTGGTTGACATTGAGGACATGTTCGATCGACCGCTGCAGCCGGTCTATACGGAGGTGCAGCAAAGCAGTCCACAGCACAAGCAGCAGCTGAGACCCAGGTCCGAGGATGATTTCCAGAGCGCCAAGTCACGACTCAGCGATATCACAGTGCCGCTGCTCGATGCGAAGACCCATGAACAACAACAACAACAACAGCAGCAACAAATACACTTGACAACTGTCGCCTAAGCCTTGACTTTGTCACAAGCAAAAGCACATCAGAAATCTCAGGTTTATTTTTATACGATTCTTTTAGCGAACAAAGCAGAGCTCCAAAGGGCGGAACTAAAAGAGATTGAGCAAGAAGAGCTAGCTTCGGCCTGCCGAAGCTTAAATATTCTTGCAGAAGCCAAAGTTTCTTATTTACCTATTTGGGAAGTATAAAAGTAATATCAACTACCCTATCTAACTGCCAAAATGAGATAAGCTTTCTTTATCACGTAAGCCCTCATGTATGAGCATTTTATCAGCAGTGAAATATTGTTTCACGTTTGTTTTTATAGAAGCAATCAGCTCTTAATTGAAAATTTTATTGCTTTCAAAACAAAAGGCAGAAAATATAATATACAATTGCAAAACTTCAAATTGAAGCAATGTATATAGTCTCAGTTATATGATCTACCACTCCACTGTTTTTGGGGTTATTAACTATAGAAGACTAGTAAGGTATCAAATTTTGTATAGGTAAACTCTTGCACCAAGGATTTTCCCGAGAGCTTTGAGTGTCTTTTATGGACAATAGCTCGTCAGTTTATTAGGAAGAATTCGATGTACAAGAATTTAGTCAAAAAGTTGATTAGCTAAAATATATTTAGCTAATCAGAAAAATATTTTACTTATATACTGCGATCACAAAAAGTTTCCCAAAAAGAAACGAAGTGTTGACTACAAAAATTTTGTTCCATAGAAGAATTACTTCCGATCGATAACTCAATAAGACTCGGATAATAACTCAATGAACACCCATGATCATGACATAGATATTTCTCTAACTTGAATTACATATTCTTCTCTGCTTCATCAACATAATTCTCTGCAAGAATATTAAAAAAGTTCTCTGTTTGCTGAAATACCAAACAAAAAAAAAAAAAAAAAAAAAAAAAAAAAAAAGGTTTCGAACAATTCAATGATATTAACTAAGCCTAAACTAAGTGAACTCGTGCCTCGTTTTAATTTATATAATAATAATGATAATAATAATCGTTTTTAGTTTTCGAAGAATAGTTTTAMTGGAAAATGCAATAGTCTAACCATAGAACCGAAAGGTGCAAATAAAATACAAATATTCCAAATACAAAGTCTGCCCAGCTTCTTAGAGCAGCTTCATGGTGATGGTCTTCGTCTCCAGATAGTTGTCCAGGCCATCCTTGCCCAGCTCACGGCCAATGCCCGACTGCTTGTAGCCACCGAAGGGGGTTTGGGGCAGCACTGCATCGTAGCAATTGATCCAAACGGAGCCGGCATCGACGCTATTGGCGAACTTCATGGCCTTGTTGATGTCGTTGGTGATGACGCCGGCGGCCAGGCCGTACTTCACGTTGTTGGCCCGCTCGATCATCTCGTCGATGCTGCTGAACTTGAAGATGGACTGAACGGGTCCAAAGATCTAAGAGTAGATTAGGTTAGTCATTGCTGAGAGAAGTGAAACTCAGCTCGGGCTTACCTCCTCCTGGGCAATGCGCATATCGTCCTTGACGTCGGAGAAGACGGTGGGTTCAATGAAGTAGCCCACATCGCCAATGCGCTTGCCGCCAGCCTGCAGCTTGGCGCCCTGCTGCTTGCCGCTCTCAATGTAGCCGAGGACCTTGGTCATCATTTCCTCGTCGATCTGCGGGCCCTGCAGCACCTTCTCGTCGAAGGGGTTGCCCACGGTGCGTGCCTTGGCCTTGGCAGCCGCCTTCTCCACGAACTTGTCGTAGATCTTCTCGTGCACGTAGGTGCGACTGCCGGCGCAGCAGCTCTGGCCATGATTGGAGAAGAGCGCCTCGTGGGTGGTGTCCACAGCGTAGTCAACTGCAGGGTAAGCCAATCAAATGAAAGTTCTCATGTTCAAATCATACAGCACTCACTATCCGCATCCTCGAAGACAACGACGGGACTCTTGCCGCCCAGCTCCAGAGAGACGCGCTTCAGATTGGATTTGGCCGCCGCCTGCATCACAATGCGTCCAATGTCCACGGAGCCGGTGAACGCCACCTTGGCAATGTCGGGATGTTCACTGATAGCAGCGCCCGCAGTGGGTCCAAAGCCGTTTATCACATTGATGACGCCCGCTGGGAAACCCGCCTCCTTGGCCAGGGCGGCCATATGGAGGGCTGTGAGTGGCGTCTGCTCCGCTGGCTTCATGACAATGGTGCAGCCGACGGCCAGGGCGGGACCCCACTTCCAGGCTAACATCAGCAGTGGATAGTTCCAGGGTATTATCTGACCCACCACGCCCACCGGCTCCTTGCGTGTCATGGCAATAAAGCCACCGGCGGGTATGGTGTCCCCGAAGAACTTGTCTGTCCAGCCAGCATAGTACTGCAGCGTCATGATTGAGATGGTCACGTCGAAGAGTGCCTCGGCGAAGGGCTTGCCATTGTCCTGGGTCTCAATGCTGGCCAGGAAGTCCTTGTCGCGCTCCATGAGCTCGCAGAGTCTGCAAGGAATCGGGTGGGTTAGAAGGGCACTGAACTGAAGGCAAAGCCACTCACTTGTTCATCAGGTTTGTGCGCTGCAGCGGACTCATCTGCCGCCAGGCGGAGCCACGATGGAAGGCTTTCTTGGCAGCAGCCACAGCTAGATCCACATCAGCCTGGGAGGAAAGGAGGAGAGGAGGAATGCAGCTGAGACAGGGAATCGGGAATGGTCTGGCCCACTCACCTTGTCGCCCTCGGCCACCTGGACGATCTCCTTGCCTGTGGCCGGGTTCTGGGTGGCAAAGGTCTTGCCGGATACGGCGTCAACGAACTCATTGTTGATGAACAACTGCAAGTGGAGATGGCATATACGGGTTCAGTGCTCGTGAAAGTGTGTTTACCTCACGGTAGGCAGGTGGGCACTGCTCGTAGCTGGAGCTGTGGCAGCCCACTTGCAGCTGCACCACCTGACGTGTCACTAAATGGCGCCACTTCATCAGCGACCTTTGCCCCCTACTCAATTCGAACTTAACAAGTTGTTAGTCACGCGACACTTTTCTTCAATGTGAATATAATTGAAATTCCAATCTCGACTCGAAACGGAATTAATAAAATTAACTTCAATTACTGTCGTTGTCAGAGGCATTGGGATTGAGTAAATGTTGTTCACTTAACACATCAGGAGTAAATTACACTAAAGCATCGTTGAGAGATCATGTAAATATTTAAACTGCCATAGTCAGGCTATTCAATTATCTAGTTAACTTGTTGTCGCGAGCCCAACTAATCTAACATTGCGTTAGCCCCTTATCAACTTGGTCATTATCAGGCCATAGAGTAATTATATGATTACTCGCTGTTTAAGTCCTACATGGACTGGTGTAAACAAGTGAAAACTTGCGATAATACCCTGTAAAGAGCTGAAGCGATTAAGTTGAAATAATCAAGAAGACAATGCTATTTATAGATTAATATACTCCTTTTTTGCAGTGTAACTTGTCTCTTGCCTCTTCTATAGTTATATTCCGGAGTAGCAAAGCAAGGCTTGCTTGAATTCTTTAATCTGTTGCTGCTGTATGAAGACATTAATCACACCTTAAAATATTATAATATTACATCTGTCTGTGTATAATTTGTTTCTTGTTTTCATTTGTATTGACATTTGTATATCTCGAACAAACTATGCACTTTATCGTTTATAATTTTCATACATATTATATGGCTTTTATTCGCACAAGAAAAGCAAATAATCTTTCTTTTCCACTTGGCTTAATTTAGTTATATCTTAAAACATATATAAATGTATATACAATAACCTTATTATATTAATCTATAGATTTATGCATATTTAATCATACATGCATATTAATCTATACTATATCTTTATATATACTTATAGTGTCCATTATGCCCTCCTACTTATGTCTGAATAGTGCTCGTCATTGTCAACTGATAAAGCGCCAGATGGGCCCACAGCAAATTAAGTGTATCAACACAATTATTTAAAATACATACTGAGCTGTCGTAGATCGCACACATAATATAATTTAGATGTTTATATATACAGACATGAATACAGCTCGCATATGTAATAGCGAATTCTTAAGTGTTGCGACACAAAAACGAGTTTGATTTTTTATTTTTATTCCCAACAAGCTTTGCAAATATTTGAAAAAAAAAAAGAAAATCAATTAGACGATTACGATTTTGAGTTGAATTCATTTTACTTTAATATGAAGTATAGGCACTTTTTTGACCTAACTATAATATATGCAGTTCAAGGAGCAATGCCTTGCCCAACTAACTGCATTGACTGTTCTAACTCTAGTCATGTAATTGATATTCTACACTCATAATATTTGTTTATATATATACTAATCAGCTATATATACTATGCACATCGACAGCTGTCGACTTACCTTCGTGTACTTGGGCTTTGCTGTGGAATTTGCCATATTGAGACGGGCTGCTGCTGAATGAGTCCCACAAGTTGACTTCTTGAGCGTTTGCAATAAACTGAAGCTGATCTCGTTTTCTATATGCTTTATATAGCTGCTTTTCTCAGTTGCTACGCCTTTTATTGCTTTCACGCTTTGCTGCTGTCCTTCTTTATCTGTTTTGCCGGCCGGCGAAAGACGAACTGAAAATATGTTTGGAAAGCTGTCTACTGTTTATATATGCATATATCCTGTAAAGCCAGTAGTATGAGGTAGTTGGGTCATTATATTTTGTATATAAATATATAATTTTTTTTAGCTTCAATTCTTTGAAATATATTTTTCTTATCTATGCTTAACTAATATTTATTTTTTGTTCGATTTATTTTAAATATATAAAATTATATAGATCATATA